GGTGTGGGGAAGACCTGGCTTCCCTGCATCTTGACTTTGGGATTGGGATCCGAGGGTTCTCCATGGATGGATCCAAGTCAGAGGGGAATGTTTGAGACAGGGAAGGGGACTGTGATCCAGAGGCTCAGAATTAAAAGATGCCCTCCCTTCTATGCAGGGGGTCAAGTTTACTGGATGGAGATGATTTGGGGCCTTTCTTCCAGAAGAAGCTAAATGAGGAGAAGGGGAGTGAGAGTTCAGGGAGGCCCTTCCCACCCTGTGAGGCTTGACTTGATCTGGGTTGGGGATGACAGAAATGTCACTCTCTGGGGTGCTGGCAGGGAGGTCTTTGCACAGGAAAAGGATTAGCTCATTTCAGTTTGTTTTTTCTTTAAATTGAATCCTCAAGTCATTTTCTGTTCACCTGCCGCACAGGGACAAGCTTGACTTCTATTTTATGTGTAATGAAAACAATGTCATTGATTTGATTTTTCACCTCAGCCCTCTCGTAGGAGCATAGAAAGTTAGGGTCTTTACTCCCTAATGGTGTCTGATCGGCACATCAAGAGTTAACTCTGGCTTCTGAGCCAAATTCGAAATAACCAGTCCATTTTTCCTTTTTTTTTTTTTTTTTTTTTAATGGTGAAATGTCTCTCAGCACAGTTGCGGCTTCCTCAAACCCTGAAAGCATCTGTGTTTATTACACTCGGGTGTCACTCACTGTTGATGTCTGCACCTACATTTCCACCTCCTCCCCCTCCTTCAGCCAGCCTATGATAACACTAAAGATTATTAATGTTGGTTTTGTATCTCGTTAAAGACAGAATTGTCACTTGTACTATTTCTGTAGCATTCAGCGCTGCTGTGGCTAACACCACTGTGTATGTTTCATCATTGCTCTGAAGGTCAAAAGCCTCATTTTATTTTGCTGGTTTGATTTTTTTTTTTAAGAAGAAAAAAAAAAAAAACTGCCCTGAATTAAATGGCTGTTTTAACAGTAGGCTCTTAGCATTACACCACATAGTCATTTTTCATGTTCTTGTTTAACAGGCACTGAGGTTCTGGTTTAAATTAAATAGCTGCAAATGAGACAATTTATAACCCATTAGGTTGGGTGGAAAATTGTTTCTCAAAAGCAAATAAGTAATAAATCTGGTATCTGCCTATAACTCACAGTTGATAAGAAAGTGGCCATTTCTCACTAGCATTATATATGATTTGGGCTCTGGGTAATTTGGAAGTGTTAGGTTTGTGTCTTTGTAGCAGTATTTTTATTAGAAAAGAATCTATTGGCCTTTTACAGGGTATTAATCCCTTTGTCACCTACCATTGATGCCTTAAGTTTTTTGAGTCTCAATTAAAAATCTTCCTTTTCTTGATGCATGACAAGTGTAATCAGTACTTGCTCATTTATTCATCTGTATTTAGTTTATGCTGTACTATTTAATTATCCTTCCAGCGTTTTTCTTCTCCTTACAAATATGATATTCTTTAGTGTTAAGCTAAGGCATTGATTCATGTATCTGTCCTTATAATGAATTAATAAACTATTTTCCAGAAATGTGGAATTCTCTTCTGGAACCATTGACTATGACTAGAATTTCCTCAGCCTTTCTGCCCTACGGAGTTTATTTCTTACTGGGATGGGAAATGTTGTTGTTGTTGTTGTTGTTGTTGTTGTTGTTTTTGAGACAGGATCTCTCTCTGTCGCCCATGCTGGAGTGTGGTGGCACAATCATAGCTCGTTGCAGACTCAATCTCCTGGGCTCAAGCAGTCTTGTCACTGCAGTCTCCCTAGTAGCTGGGACTACAGGCACATGCCACCATGCCTGGCTAATATTAAAAAAAATTTTTTTATAGAGATGTGGTCTCGTTATCTTACCCAGACTGGTCTCGAACTCCTGGGCTAAAGCCATCCTCCTGCCTCAGCTTCGAAAAGTGCTCGGATTATAGGCATGAGCCTATACCCCTTGGCCCAAAATAGTGTTTTGTTTGTTTTTTCAGACTAATCTCACTCTGTCACCTAGGCTAGAGTGCAGTGGCATGATCTCAGCTCACTGCAACCTGTGCCTCCTGGGTTCAAGTGATTCTCTTGCCTCAGCCTCCCGAGTAGCTGGGATTTCAGGTGTGCACCACCACGCCCGGCTAATTTTTGTATTTTTAGTAGAGACAGGGTTTCATGTTAACCAGGCTGGTCTCAAACTCCTGACCTCACGTAATCTGCCCACCTCGGCCTCCCAAAGTGCTAGAATTACAGGCATGAGCCCCTGCACCCAGCTCAAAATGGTGGTTTTTGAAGGTAAAGAGCAGGTGGTCATGGGAAAGAACTAAACCATCTTCCTCCCTCAACAGACACTTAGGAAAAAGATGTAAACTTAGGAAAGATGCGTTCTTTGATGGCACTTCCTTAGACTCTCTGGGGATCTCTTTCCATCTGGGCACACATTTCTCTGAACTTTTTTGGGTGCAGGAAAGAGGGAACAACTCCAGAGATTTGGGCTCCACAACTATTCTTGTTTATAACTCTGGTCACCAACATTATTCATGGCCACACAATCACACACACGTGCACTGTGTGTACAAGCTCAGAGACCCGTAGATGCATACTTGCCTTCACAAACACCCTTGTGTCTGTTCGTTAATGCAAATGTACACATAATCTCACACACAAAACTCCACACTCACACTCCACACACATCTTGGCATCACAGTTGGCAGCTGCTGTCTGCTAAGATCTTTACAGAGTCCAGAACATGCTTTCTATTGGAGGGAATCAAGAGCTGGAGGCTGCTTTGCTTGGGACCACCCCCAAAGTGGCTGGTGGGCCAGACCCAGAGTTAATTGACAGATCAGACAGAGAGATACTGCACATTTTGCACTCGGCAGAATAGCCATTATTTGCATATCACTCTCAGACCAAGGGTTGTGATAAAGAAGAATTAAACACTTGTCAAAATGAATTTAAAATGACAGCAATTCAAGACACCAATTTGACCTCTTCAGAGTCCAGGACAAGCCAAGAAGGGGTTGTTGAGAATTCAAGCCCTGCAGGAGGGAGTTCCAGAATTTTAGGCCCAGGGAAGGCTCTTCCCCTCCCTTTCCTAAGGCCAGTAGACCGCCACTCCCACCCTTTCTCACAATGAAATCCAATAGGGCTTTGGCACATTGGGATCCTCGACTTAGAATTTTTCCATTGCTTCCTGCTGCTCACATGCCTCATGTCCTGCTTCTCAGGCTCATCTTCCAGTAGCTACCCAGAGTGAATATTCCTGAGCTATGCCAACCCCATCATTAGTAAACCTGTCCATCTGCAGGCACTCTGATTTCTGGAGGCCTGTACTTCCTTACTTACTGTATCAAAGTTAGTTTTTTTTTTGTTTGTTTTGAGACAGAGTCTTGCTCTGTCGCCCAGGCTGGAGTGCAATGGTGCAATCTCAGCTCACTGCAACCTCTGCCTCCCGGGTTCAAGCTATTTTCCTGCCTCAGCCTCCCGAGTAGCTGGGATTATAGGCGCCTGCCACCATGCCCGGCTAATTTTTTTGTATTTTTAATAGAGACGGTGTTTCACCATGTTGGTCAGGCTGGTCTCGAACTCCTGACATCAGGTAATCCACCCACCTCGGCTTCCCAAAGTGCTGGGATTACTAGGCATGAGCCACTGTGCCCGGCCCAAAGTTAATTTTGCACATGGTCCCAAAGTTCCAGAGGTGGTATCAAAAGAGAGACTTAGGTTTTCCTCTGCCATCTCAGTCCAGTGCCAAAGGAGCAAATAGATACATTAGGCCAACACTGATTGATTGATTGATTGATTGAGACAGGGTCTCTGTTGCCCAGGCTGGAACACAGAGGGACTACAGGCATGCACCACCATGCCTGGCTAAGGTTTGTATTTTTCATAGAGACAAGTTTTCACCATGTTGCCCTGGCTGGTCTTGAACTCCTGGGCTCAAGTGATCTGCCCACTTCGGCCTCCCAAAGTGCTAGGATCACAGGTGTGAGCCACCAAGCCTAGCCTGCCACCTTTAAATCTCTAGCTCCTAGAACTTAGTAGCTGCTCAATAATTTTGATGGACTAGTCCGTCATGCTGGACTCAACAGAAGACCATTTAATAGCGAGTGGCTGAGATTCAAGATCTCTGAGGGCTAGTATGGGTATGTCTCTGCTAAAAGACTTGCTTATCTTCTCTAACATTCTCACATGGAACCTATGTTGTCTCCTTATACGTTCTCTGACATGAACGATTGAGGGCCTTCTTTGTGGCGCAGAAACATTACTGGGAATTTTAAGTTTCTATGTGCTTTTCCAGTTACCAGGTCATTTGTCAGGACCTCTGCGGTTTAAAGGTCTCTAGGGATGAACAGGAGAGATAAGATTATTTTCATCCTTCAGATGAGCTCAGTGAGAGTGACTGGGCTAGGCAGCAGGCAGAACCCAGGTTGGAAGCCAGGCCCGTTTAGAGCTCTCATTGTCCTGCTGGGTCCGCTCTCTCCAGGCAATCCTCCCCAGCGGAGCGCCAGGACTCCTCGGCCCTGAGAAGCCAGTCTTGCAGCTACAGGATCTATCCTTTGAGTGGAAGGACCAGAAATCCATGGAAAACTTAATCTTTGACAACTTTACGCAGCTTTTTAGAGAATTATCTCTAAAATATGGACTTGGAGGAGGGCGCAGCAGAAAGAGTGGGTCAGAGCAAATCCCGCAGCTGTGAGTGTCTTTCCGCAGCCTGGACCCACTCCCCAGTCCGCTGGGTGTCCACTTCCTCAGTCCCCCAGGTCCCGGGCTAGCCCGCGGGGAGGGGATACCCGGCTGCAGCCCGGGACGGCGCCGGCCGCTCCAGCCACAGTTCAAAGCGCAGGGGGCGCGTCCGCCGCGCAGCCGGGAATGTCCGGCCGCTTAAAGCGCTCGCCGGCTCTTTTGTTCCCCAGACCGGGCCTCCGGGGAGAGGGGGCTGGGGGAGGGGACCGGGAGCGGAGAGGAGGGAGGAGGGGGGCGGCGGGCTGGGGAGGAGGGCGGGGCGGCCGCGAGCGGTGCGAGTGTGCAGCGCGCACCCCGGGCGAGGCTGACAGATCGCCCGGGTGGGTGCAAGATGGCGCAAGCGGCGCTCCCCCTGCGCCCCCCGCGCTCCTGAGCAGGCATGCGGCTCCAGTCCCCCACCGCCCGGGCTCGGCCCCGGCCGGAGCCCCAGCCCCGGCCCCGGCGCCGGCCCCGCGGGACGCTGTGAGCCGCGAGAGGCCCGGGAGCCGCGCGTCGCCGAGCCGAGCGGACCGAGAGCCCCATGGCTGTGCAGCGCGCCGCGTCTCCGCGCCGCCCGCCCGCCCCGCGCTGGCCCCGGCTCCTGCTGCCGCTGCTGTTGCTGCTGCTGCCCGCGCCGAGCGAGGGTGAGCGAAAGCGTCCGGCCCAGGCGGCTGCGGACGGAGCCAGGGGAAGGGCGAGCAGGGAGGGAGCGGGCGCGAGGGGCGGACCCGGGGAGAGCGGCGCGGACCCCGCGCGGGAGGGACCCAGCGGATCGGGACGGGGAGAGGGCACCAAGGCCGGACTGTCGGGGGCCCTAGGGGCGTGCTGAGGACGGAGCCCCCCGGAAGAAGACTGGGGCAGGACCCGGAGCCCAGACTGAGGGGCAAGGAGTGCAGCGAAGCGGGAGCAAGCGGGGCGGGCTGGCGTGGAGACAGAGGGAAACGAGCCAGGGGAGACCGCACGGCTAAGCGCCGACCGAGGCGGACGAGCTGGGGTGCTCGGTGCCCGGCCGTGGATATAGCCCGAGGCAGCCGAGGCAAGGGACAGCAGTCTGGGGGGCGGACAGCGGGACCCTGCCAGCTGCACTGGGGGGAGATGGCACGTCCCGCATTTGGAGCTGGTACTGGGCTGAGGAGTGCGCGGGAGAGCCGGAGAAGAGGAGGAGGGAGATTCCTGGAGGGCGGCGCGTGGCTAGGAAGCGACCCGGGACAGAGCCCGTGAGCCAAGGAGAGGAGAAGCCACCAAGAGCGAGAGCGAGCGAGCCGCGGGGATGCTCACGTGCCCCTGCCCTTCCCCGAAGCGTGCACACGCGGAGACCCTACCCCTGGCTCTCGCGGTCCGCCAGCTCCGCTGCCTGGAGCTCGGTCACCACCACGCTCTTCCCTTTAGTGGCTGCAGTGGTCCCATCTCCCGGGAGGGGAGTGCAAATCTAGTCCCTTACCCCTCCCACATCAAGTTCCCCACAGACACTCATCTGGGCTATTCTGTCTCCACTCCTCTCTCAAGAAGTAGAAGATCGCGTCCGCATCAAGGAAAAACTTTATCCCCCGACAGCTATGCCGGGGTTGGATTGGGGGCTAAGACGGGTGAACTCATGACATGGGGAAGATGCGCAGGGGTTTGAATAAGTGCGATCCTAAAAAGTCTTAAAACATTACATCTCCCTGGGCCGGGGGCGCGGGGCGGGGGCAGGGGGCGCGGGGCGGGGAATGCCTATAACCCAAACGCCCCTCCTTTCTCCCCTCCCACTTCCCCATCTCCCCCAGCCAGGGAGGGCCCTAGTCTGCTGGGGAGGGGCCAGCTCAGGATCGCTAGTTATCTGGAAATGTGAGGAGGGGTCTGTGACTGCCCTTTCAGACCATGTGGGTTCATTCCTCCTGGAGTGGAGTTGTAACTGGTCTGGTACGTTGCTTGCTGGAGAAGTTGGTGACTTGGCATCATGCCTGGGACTGGAGTGCTTGTCCCTCCAGCTGGGCTTCTGATTCCCTGATCGGCCTTAGCCCCATCTATTCTTTGGCCTCCTCCTTTTTCTACTCATTTCTCTTCTCCTGCAGGAGCAGAGAGGTTGGCTGGAAGTAAAGGTTCTAGGAGCACCCTCTTCCTTGGTTTTGGAAAACCATACTTGGTGTTTGCTACCTTCATCTCTCCCTATGACAAAGGCAAAAGGACAGAGTGCCAGAGGGGAGGGGCAATGGGGCCACAACCTAGTCTGTACCCTGGGTACTGGGACTACACACCCTGCTCCCTGCCAGGCATTGGACCAGGCCTCTGTTGGGTTTTGGCCAGCAAAAAGCAGCACGATTTATTACTATGTCCCTCTGTATTTCTTTAGAAATTTAAATTTTTCATAGTGCCTTTGAGTCAGTTAATCATGTCGTAGAACCCTATGACCCAAGCCCCATTGTTCTTCCTTGATCTAAACAGATGAGGAATGAGAAGCCAGAACATGTTGAATACTTTACCTAAGGTCACACCCGAAGGTCTGTGAGGTTTCAGTGCTTACCCAGGGTGACCACTGAAGTAGCAGCAGCTGTATTGGAGTCAGTCTTGCTTTTGGGTCTCAGTTTTGCAGCTACTGACTGTGAGACCCTGGGCAAGTCACTTGACGTCTCTGGGCTTCAGTTTTCTTACCTGTGAAAGAGGAAATGGTACAAATAATATCCATCTCTGAGATGGTCTGATGATTAAGGAAAGTACTGCCTTGGATGACACTTTGTAATGCATAAGGTACTATATATAATAGGAATTCCTATTAACATTACAGAAACATGGGAATGGGGTGCATAGACCCAAGGAACTTGGAACCATGTGGGTAGAGTTCTTCCTGGACGCTCATTTCACACTAACATCCCTATTTCCTTCCATCTCCCCTTCCCCAATGCAGGTCTTGGCCACTCTGCCGAACTGGCATTTGCTGTGGAGCCAAGTGATGATGTTGCCGTCCCCGGGCAGCCTATAGTGCTGGACTGCAAAGTGGAGGGGACCCCTCCAGTGCGAATCACCTGGAGGAAGAATGGGGTAGAGCTGCCAGAGAGTACCCACTCCACCTTGCTGGCCAATGGGTCCTTGATGATCCATCACTTCAGGCTGGAGCGGGGAGGCAGCCCTTCAGATGAAGGTGACTATGAGTGTGTGGCCCAGAACCGCTTTGGGCTGGTGGTCAGCCGGAAGGCTCGCATTCAGGCTGCAAGTAAGTGGATATCCCTTGTTTTCCCTTGCTGAGGAAGCCAGCTGGTGATCCAGGGTCAGCCTAGGGCACGACGGCAGCGGGTGTGGTTCCATCTCATGCAGCCTTCTGGAGGACTAATTTCTCAGCACGGGTCGGTTTTGAGGTGCATGGCAGTGATTTGTGGTGGTGGAATTATATCACATGCTTGTTTAACTGACTGGAATGTGAATTGGCAAGATTGTAGCCAAACACCCACAGGGCAGTCAGGGAGAAAGCTTTACCCAGTTCTTGGGTCAGCATGTCTTAGTTTCCATATGTCTGTCATACTTTGAGCATCCCAGTTCACTGAGTTTGATTCTCGTGTATAAAGATAAATCATTCCCATACTTTAAGGGTGATTAAAGACATTTTTGAACGGTAATTTTGGCTACATTCAATTTTAAATTATGTGCTTAAATTAATGTAAACCCTTGGGTAGGATAAGACCTCTATATACCAGTAATGAAATTCTGGAGCTTGTTAACAGTTTGCATTAAAAAAATATGGTAGGATAATTTCAGAATTATCTCAGTGATGACATCACTCCTACTCACCTTCATGCTAATGTGTGTTTTTGAAGGGGAGAGAAAAGGCGAGGCAAGATGTTTCAGCTCTGGAATTGTGCTTTGCTTGTGCTGCCTGATCGTCAGTTGTGGTAATGAAATGATGACTGTGGTTTAACTGCCCTGTCCTGCAAAAATTATGTTATTGTTGAATCTGTGCACACTGGGAGTGTGTTGCATAAATCAAAATTCTCCATGTATCCCAGGGAGGTGGCAAGCTGTGGGCAGTGAGGTCATGGTTGAAAAAGGACAGAAGTTTTGGCAAGTAGAAAATGTTCTCCATCTCATATCTCTGGATCTCTGGAAGGGGGTGTTCCTTTAAAGAGGCTGCTTTGACTATTGGTAACAATTCTAGTTAACACATTTTTCTTTTTTCTTTTTTTTTTTTTTTTGAGACGGAGTCTTGTTCTATCACCCAGGCCGGAGTGCAGTGGTATGATCTTGACTCACTGCAACCTGTCTCCCAGGTTCAAGCGATTAGTGTGCCTCAGCTTCCCCAGTAACTGGGATTACAGGTGTGCACCATTACGCCCGGCTACTTTTTGAGTTTTTTGGTAAAGATGGGATTTCGCCATGTTGACTGGGCTGGTCTCGAACTCTTGGCCTCAAGTGATCCTCCCGCCTCAGCCTCCCAAAGTGCTAGGATTACAGGCGTGAGCTCCTGCACCCAGGTCCAGCTAACACTTTTTAAGCACTTGCTGCATGCTGGGCAACCTGCCCAAGTGCTTTACATGAATTACTTCATTTTGTCGTAACAACAGCCCTGGAAGAATGGAAGATAGGTCATTATCATCCCCCTTTTACAGAAGAGAAAACTGAGCCTTAGGGGGACTCAATGGCATTCTGATAGCAGAAGAGCCAGGACTGTCATCTGGGCAGCCTGAACCCACACCCTCCCACTTAGCTCCTGTGGCACGCCGCCTCTTTCCTGTCTGATCGCTGACAAGTTTCTTCCTGGCTCTGAGGGCATTTGCACAGTTGCTCTGAACGGCTGGTGAGTGATGAATCAGTTTGAGGCAGGAGCCCTCTCGCTGGGTTTAAGATACCCCTTTGTTCTGAGGAAGGCTGATCCAGGCCCCCATATGGAGCTCGCTGGGAGGCAGCCCTGGACTTTGAGACCAAATCACTTCTGGCTCAGCCACCCTCATCTCGTGGCCCTCCCGGCAGTGCAGGGGAAGGCTGGTGCAGCCTCTGAGCAGATGGCTGGGTGTGAGGAAGGGAAGCGTGGACAGAGGGTGGGGACCCCAGTAAGATTTGCAGACCGGAGAGATGAGACTCCTCAGGGAGATGCTCCCCATACCCTCCCTGGCCTGTGTCAATGCTGAGATATAGATGGCCCCTGCTGAGGCCTTTGTATCACCAGCCTAGAATCCCGGGAGATAAATCCCTAGGGGCTTATATATATAGCTAATTGTAAATGTGCTTTTTTATAAATGGTAACACCTTCAAGATGTTTGGTTTCTTTAAACTCCTAACAATATAGTACAAGAAATTAAGCTGTGGGTGGGGTCAGCTTGGTTAATCCTTTGGGGTCCTGGAGACAGCTGGGGGGTTTGCCTCTAAGCTCTGGCAGTCTGACATGGCCCCTCTCTCCCCTGCAAGGCTGTGGTCCCATGGGAGAATGCTCAGATGCCAAGCAATGGTGCGGCTGGATCCCCTTTTCTCACTTCACAGGCTGATGTCCCTAGAAACCTCCAAAGCTGATTAGCTGCCTGGGTTTCCTCCTTCGTAATAACTCCCTGCCTGTGTGCCTGCCGGCACTGCAGATGTTGTGTGACACAGGAGGGTGCCTTTCTGAAAGGTGTGAGGAGGCCTCTGGAGGCCCCTGCTTCTCCTGCCTGCTCCACAGGGGCCCATGGGAAGGGGGCATGCTAAGCACCCCTTGTAGACTCACAGTTCACCCAGCAGACTAACCCAGGGAGGCAGATGGGTGTTCAGGTCTATGTGGGTGGGTCTGCTGGGCATCTGAGCTCTGGGCCAGAGGCCGATGGTTGGAAATGCACGCCCTTCCATCCCAAGGGGTTCAGATGCTGTCCTCAAAAGACAGCCTGGCCAGAGTAGCTACACTGCAGGCTGATTCCTTTGGGGCTTCAGTTTCAAGTGTTTCCCCTTTAGAATGGAACAGCTCAAGATCCTAAGAGTGTTCATGCTTGGGAGCCCTAGACTCTGCCTTGCAGCTCCATGTGCTTGTAGTTTGGGGGCTGAAAATTGAGACTTGTTAAGGATGAGACCCTGGACAAGTTAATGCTCCCTCATCCCAGTTTCCTTGCCTGTGAAACGTGCATGTGATCCTGCCTGGTAGGGCGGCTGTGAGGACCAGCACACCCCACACTTTGCCTGGCACTCAGGAGGCACTCAGTAACGGGAGCCGGCACTGCACTCCTCATTTAAAGGCAGTTTCACTGACATGGTCTTTAAATGTAATCTTGGCTGCCCATGGAGGTTAATCTCCAGCAAAAGCAAACTGCCTGACTCTGCTCCCGGCCCCTGCTTTCTCCCTCGCTGGGATTCATTTAGGGAGTTCTCCAGGGAAATCTATCAGGGAGTGGAATTATTGGAGCCAGAGTGCATCTTGTTTTGTTTTAACCCCTTCCTGGGAGGACTGAGGGTTCTCCCAAGCCTCAGGGTGTGGGCTGAACCTGGCCTGGCCAGTGAGACCCTCTGCGATGCCTCTAAAGGGGCTGACCCTGGGGAATGTGTTCATTGACTCATACCTGAGGCCTGTGTGCCTGAATGACTCCAAAAAGGGATGGACTAGCTACAAGGAGGAGGATGGGGGACCCACCCCGAGTCCCTGCCACCCTCAATCCCTGCCCCTCTTTCCTAGCCTTAATTCTTGATCTCAGGCCTCTTGGGGAACCGGGGTATTCAGCTCTGTGATATAGTGCAGGACTTCCTAAACCTTACTGAGCCCGTGAATCGCCGTGAATCTTGATAACATTCAGATTTTGAATTCATAATCCAGGCCAAGGACTGACAAGAGCCCAGGTATTGCCAATACAGCTGGTCCACAGGCCGTATTCTGAGTAGCAAGGGATTAGCAGAGACCACTCCCACGTCATAACCTCCACTGTGGGGGTCTTCAGGCAGCATAGTGAAGCCTCTGGAACAAAGGCTTCAGGGCCAGACTTCCATGGGTCTGAACCCCAGCTCTGCCACTCAATGGTCAATGCCCTTGGCAGGAGTTACTTAGCCCTCTTGAGACTCAGTACCTTCATCTGAAAACAATGTGCACCATTCCATCCGTCTGTCAGGGCTATTGGAGGAGTAAATGAGGTGATGGGTCTAAAGTACCTGGCACAGGGCTTGGCATCTAGGAAATGCCAAGTATTACTGTTGGTGCTCAGTATTGCCCACTAATTTAGGATGAGGTCCCAGGTGTCTCAATCCTGGCTGGGTTCTCCAAGAGCCAGGACTACCCTCACTCCCAGCCTGGGGCCATCTTGCTTGGGGAGGCCCAACAGTGGTTTAAGTGTGGGTTGTGGTGGCAAACAGACCTGGGCTTGGTGGGCTTGGGCCTTGGCCCCACCACCTGCTAGCTGTGAGATCTTGGGCAAGTCACTTCACCTCTCTGAGCCTTGGCTTCCTCATCTTTCAAATGGGGGAACGTGATGGCTCATGCCTGTAAATCCCAGCACTTTGAGAGGCTGAGGCAGGAAGATCGCTTGAAGTCGAGTTTGAGACCAACCTGGGCAACAGAGCAAGACCGTGTCTCTACTAAATAAATAAATATATAACATGGGGGGAAATAATATAAAATAATAAAAAATACCAAGGAGAAATGTTGTGAAGATTATCTATGATAATGTGCAGGAAGAGCTTAGCACAGGGCACAAAGGCAGCATTCCCTATTATTAAGGTACTAATTTTATAAATACATACATATATAAATATATTTTGAGACTGAGTCTCGCTCTGTCACCCAATGCAGGGTGCAATCTCAGCTCACTGCAACCTCTGCCTCCCGGGTTCAAGCGATTCTCCTTCAAGCTCCTGACTAGCTGGGATTACAGGTGCCTGGCACCATGCCTGGCTAATTTTTGTATTTTTAGTAGAGACAGGGTTTCATCATGTTGGCCAGGCTGGTCTCAAACTCCTGACCTCAAGTGATCTGCGCACCTCCTCCCACAGTGCTGGGATTACAGGTGTGAGCCACTGTGTCCAGCCAGGTCCAGTCAGGTACTAATAATGTTAGCTATTATTATTTTGAGGAGCTAACAGAGGTGAAAACATGTTAAGTTCTGAGCTCCTTTAGTTGTGATATGATTCCCAAAAAGGTCCCTGGTGACCCCAGACTCCTAGAAAGAGGCAGTGGGGCATGGGGAGAGGAGAGAAAGTCCAATTCTAGTCCCCTGCTCTCTCCGCCTCAATAAGTCACCTAGCCTCTCAGGCCCTCAGTTCCTACTTCTGAAGTTTGAA